AGTACTGAAACTTTGGCGAATCTGTAACAAATTATACAGGTCAAACCGTAAAGCCTAAACTGGACATTAAATGTCCGAAACACTTTTCAATAACATACAGGGTGTTAGATATTTAATGGCGAATTTGTTCAAATAATCGTAAGACCATTTTCTTAAATTGAAAAATGCAGAATGCTATTCTCTTTCGAATGGTACTATGGTTAACTTTAGTCATCATCTAGTTTTTGTTCGGAGAGCATACCCAATATCTTTACTGTACAAATTTTCAAAATTTAAATCGTAGTTTCCGAAATTTTCTAATGGGTGGTCACTGTGAAACACCCTGTATATTAATTTCTAATGAATACCTTAAATTTATACTAATTTTCTTTCATTGTGGGCGCTAGTATATCTAATAGGCATTAGCAAACGCGCCCTGGCTCTTTTCTGTTAAAATAAATTCTAGGTTTCTCCGACAGCATTTTTTATGTTTTATACTTTTCCCGATTTCCTTCTGTTTGCTCTTCCGTAACTTAACCCAGTTTCCCGATAACGAATTCGTGTTGTTTGTTTCAGCTCTTAAGCAAGATCGCAAACGTCTAAAAGCTGAAAAGTTCGATTTGTTGGACCAAATGAAGCAGCTGTACGCAACACTCGAGGACAAGGAGAAGGAGCTACGGGACTTTATCAGAAACTACGAACAGGTAAAAACACGTTTCTATCAACAAAGTAAACAGAGGAAAAAAACGAAGAGGTTGTTGAGATATTGATCATAATACTGTTGAGGATGATTATGATTATGAGGATGATAGAAAGAATGTCGCGAAGTCATGTTTGTTCAGATGTTTACATTGTAAACAAGGTTTGTTCGGCGTTAAACGTAAGCGTAAATATTGTTAGAGGGTGCGGGAGAACGAGACCTCCCTGCAGCAGCTCTCAACGGAACGGGAGGAGAGGGAAAGGGAGAGGTGGAGCCTGCTCAGGCACGCTAGGGATGAAGCCGAACGAAGTCTATCGCTTGCTGCTCAACTTAATGCCAAAGAACTACAATTGCAACAGGCCCAGGAACAATTGCAAGAAGTGAGTATCCATTATGTCTCCTCTAACGTACATGAGGCATGAGGGCTTATACACAGAATTCATATCAAACGACAAAACCGTCCATTACATTTTCTGAACACACATCAAGGCCATTTTCGAGCCCTAACAACATATAATGTTTAGCATGAATTATGGAAATGTACATAGAAATCGAGGTCATCAATCACGAATGTCTACTCGAGTTCCACCAAGCATCAAACAAT